GCGTCGGTATTTTTTTTAGTTTACACCATTTACAAATATCTTAATATAACGACGTCACTCCATAACGATAAATGCCGATAACATCGAAGTATTTACCCGAACAAGTACCGGAAGGTTTCGGAGGTGGTCCTTCTGATTAAATGATAAATCTGAAGTGGATTCGAAAGAGATCTCAGATAAATCGTATCACGTGACTGGGATTTGTGTTTTTGTAAGATTATCTCTGCCGCCGCTGATGACATATAATGAACAGGAATACATTTCGGTCAGCTGTAATTATTGTTGTGATTTTATTACTGAAATGAAATTAAAAATTCTTATCTATTAAAGAGCCCCTCCAGATTGTATCGGCGATTGTCAAACTGAATATGCACAAGGTAGTTACGTTGAGGGGGTTTACGCGGTTTTATAAGTGATCTGGTTTAAAGGGTGCAAACATACATAAAACACATTCACATACGAGCTTACATGAATGTGTGTATTGTTTTGGCAAACAGCTGATTACAAAGTGAGGCATTTAAGCAAAGCGAGCTATCTTTTCATACCTTACGTTGCTTTGTGTGACTCGCTTTGTACGTACACATGTACGTACTCTCAAACGCATTCACATATTCAAACACACAAACAAAACAGTACAATTTAATAAATAATTGATATATAGATATATATATCGCTAATATAAATGCTAGAATAGAGATTAAATGTAACACAGACAACGTTCAACTAATAACAGTTAGCATTTAAATTAAAGCTCAATAATAATATAATTTCTCAAAATACAATGTGATCCCATATTTTCTGTTTTGTTTTGTTTGTTTTTTTAACGTGCCAAATAACGCTGTCGTTTTTATTTGTAGTCCGCCTCCCGTCGCGTAGGATTGTCATGCGCAAACTGCCATACGACCACAACTACGTTATGGCGTCGTAACAACGAGGGAGAACCCGTATGTAACGCATGCGGACTCTACTACAAACTTCACGGGGTATGTATAGACTTTCTCGAGTGGTTACTTTACACCTAATAACGAAATAACTGACTAAAATAACTGACTACAAATGTAAACTTGTCCTAACAGATTTGGTAAAGACTAATTGGTAGTTTTGTTTTAACCCTACTTGTACATCTGTGTTTAGAGTCATGACAGACTTTTAATTATTTTGGAGATTTGTATAAGACTCATTGATATAGTTACTTTAAGATCCATTGTTATATATTTGTTGAAGGTTTATTGGTAGATTACTTTATGACATGTTAGTTGGTTTCTCTATGACATGTTAGTAGATTTGCTTTATATGAATTTTACTTTGAATTATTGAACTTTTTTGATTTTAATTCTAATATGTGATTATTTATTTCAAGATTAAAATTAATTATCAACGCATCTTATAGACATTTTATAAGACAATTAGGTCAATTAAAACACTTATGAATGTACATGTGTCATCGCCGTAATAGTACTGTTTTTCTATTGACATACGACGTATTTTGATAAAAACAATATACGGAATTCTGTAAAAATCGTTAGTTAAAGGAAAGGACATGATGACATACAGTTGTTTTAATATTTATTTCTTATTTACAGGTAAATCGTCCATTGGCCATGAAAAAGGATGGCATTCAAACGAGAAAACGAAAACCAAAGAGTCTGGCTAAGAATAAATCTGCTCCAAAGTCAGAACAAAATGGTAAGTTATTCCCTGTCTTTTCTAATTAATTCCCCTTCATCTTTGTCATTGGACTTTGCTATGAACAATTAGCAGGATACAAATTACACGACGTCGTACCATAACAGTGACACATTAGATAAATTACAGTACAGATACAAATGTTTCATCCGTTTGACAATTTTTCAAAAGTATTTCAATTTTGTCTTTCAAAATATTTCTGTCCTTTTTAACATCTGCTTCTGGCATAGTAAGTAGTTAATTTACAGAAAGATAATGATCTTGTTTTCATTCAGGGAAGCATTCTACTAGAATTTGTGGTAGGGTTATCTGGTGGAAACTAGTGGTTATCATTTGTTCAGCTGCAGGTAACACCCACTGTATCTCTCAGAGATTCCCATCAGATAGATTAGATTTCGAGAAGAACAATATTATGATAAGGAAAGATAAGACAGAAAATGCTTTCGAACATAAATTCATACTTTGAAATTACCTGCTTCCGGTTTCGCGACATCATACTCTACCATAAATTGGCTCGTTAGATTTCGACAGCATGCCGGGAAACGTTAGAATTAAAGACGTGTCTTGTTTGCACTCCTGCTGTGTCACGTTAAAACCCTTTGCATTTTGTCTTTCGGCGTCGTACTTCGGGGGCGCTTGTAGCTAATATACTATATTTGTTGTTATCAGCTGATCAAACAGTGTCTGGTTACAGAGGTCAAACCTCCAGCTGACCACGCATCACGCGACTTCTGTGTAGGGATATTACTGTAGTATCAAAATGCTAAAATGGTTGGTAAAAGATTTATAACTATAAAAAAAAGGATAGACAAATTTATCTTTGAAACTTGCAAAACCTAAATGGTAGACTTGAACAGTTGAAAGAAAATGATGGTAATTTTAGCAATAAGTGATTCAAAGATTTCTTTTTCTACTCACAGACATTGTAACGTAAAGAAATTGCAATATTCAAAAGTATAACGCTAAGAACTTTAATTATTTCACACAAAAGATAGTGCTTAGAAATAATTTCATTCCAACACAAAATATAACGTAAAGAAAATATTTTATTCCAACCTAAAAATATAACGAAAAGAAAATAATTTATTCCAACCCAAAACATAACGTTAATAGATTATTTTATTCTTTCAAAAAATATCGTAAATAAATTAGTTAATTCCAACGCAAAATAGAACGTCAACAAATAATTTCATTCCCACGCAAAGTTTTACAGATACATATATTGATATTATTCAGACACACATTATAACATTAAAAGTTGAATTTTTTCCGGTAAAAATTATGCTGTTCAGTGTTTTTGTCATTCTATCACAAATTATGATGCTAACAGTTTATTCAGATAAAAATGTAACGGTAACAGTTGATGCTTGCTTAAACATAAATTAAAACTGCAAAAAAGTATACAATATTAATTAAACCTTAGAGTTTATGGTATTCCAACACATTTATAACGTTATTACCAAACAGTTTTTATAGAACCCGTTTAGAAAAGAAACAGCGGTTATTGAACACAATTTTATATCAAATGAATTAACGTTTTTGTTTAAAAGGTTTAAAAGAAGAAAAGATTGTCCTTTTTAACACTATTCCATTTTTATGTGAATAAATATATTACTGCTTACTAGTTTACATATGTAGTGTTTCCGAAGAATCTTTGAGAATTTTGTTGTTAGCTTGAAAAAACAGTTAATTGTTTAAATAAAGAATAACAACTTTCATAAAACAAAGTGTATGGTTTATTGTCTAATTACCTTTTATATGTAAAATGAAATCGCGTAACGGAACAGGTTGGAATAAGTCATTGTTTCTATATTGCTTCCCTGTCTTCTTGCATTATATGGTCTTCAACAGCATTATTGCATACATTTCGTGAAGGAGAAAATACAAATGGAGCACATTTTGTCCTATTTCTAACGTTTTTGGCATTTTCATAGGACATTTATAATGACTCGAAATCTTAATGTAATAATTATGAAAACTATTTACTGTGATAGTTGAATTAAACCTATCAAATCTTGACACATTCAAACGATACGAGTAAGTGAGGTCATTACCAGAGGGTTAAATACAATTTTATAAATCGTCTGAAAACAAATGTTAGCTGCCGGGAACAATATGGGACTTGTGAGATAAATATACTTATCTGGAATTCTTGGCGCGGCCAATTAAAACCTCCCCTCTGAATACATAAACATTTCTATGATAAGGAGATCCCGGGGAGTGAACCTATTGAAAAGTAATTCCTAATTTCTTTTGCTCAATAGGATGGATATAAATTAGCTATTTGAAATCTAATACAAAAACACCAGAAATTTGAAATTAGAACATTTTTTTCTCTAAATGATAATCACATTTAAACTGCAGTGACACGATAACATCAAATTATGTTGTAATTCAGACACAGGCTGGTTGATAACACTGTCAGGACACGCCGCTAAAACAGTTATCTTATAATTATACACAGTCGTGTTTCTTCATTATGTCTACATGAGATATTGTTCACTACATAACCTTAAAGATGCTAATACGTACCCATTGTTTATACCTATTCGTTATTCACCAGTACATAATTAAGAGTCATTACAATGATGCAATAAAGCGTCGACAAATAACAAATTAAGAGCATAAAGAATATCGTTACTTTTACCGGGTTTGCATGGTGTTGTTACATATATATATATCTTACTGCATCTTCCATTATTCATCTCTCTTTCTCTCGATCTTATTACCCACGAAGTGAAAAGTCGTTGTCTGTTTGTAAAACGGATTCAGATTTAGATAAAGTGTTAATTTTGTTTTTGAACCTTTGGTAGTTCTGGAAAATGAAATAAAGTTTAAAAATACAGCGCTTATTGCTCAAAATTATTCGAAAAGCGTTTAACTATGTGACATTATCAGTAAAAGGTAGACATGTGAGTATTTATGGGCTTGAGATTAGGCAGTATTGGTTGAATTATATTTACAGATTAGTGTTCATTAAGCTGACTGAGCAGGCCTGTTAGTATGCTAGTCGAATCGTAGTCAATTTTTCAAATTCATTTTCATTATATTACAGATGTGTTTTGTTGTCTTTGAAAAAAACAGTGCAAGCAATGTTGCATGATTAAGGCAATGTTATGTAGGTACTGAACATCTTTCCCTATAAAACGATCAAACAAAACTGTAGGGAAAACAATAGAGCATATCAATATGAATCCTGAACTGACATCTTTTGTATTAAGTTTGAATAAGAAAGATATTATTGCCTTTATTGTCTTTCACATCATTTCTTGCTTACAAAACCATGAATTTATGATGTCATGCTAATATTTCAATTGTCAGCTATTAAAATGATATTGTTTGTTACCTAAATATCATTAATATTTTTCTTTCTTTTCAATTACAGATATCAAACCTGCTCTCTCTCCAAACAACAATAATTTATCCTCTGGTCAAGGTGGACATGTGACCGGAAGCGGACACGGAACACCCTCATTGAACGGAACAAACGTCACCGCCCTCCTTGGACCTACTTCCGGTGTGACACCACTCACAGCTGTTGGTTCAGAACATTCGTCTCTATCTAGTCCTGTTAACTTAGCCGCTGTTAATCACTATTCCTCACCGTCACCACCCAAGGCAGTTCCGGTCAAGATGGAGTCCGATCTCCATGGACACGGTGGTCACGTGTCCGTCGGTGGCATTCCTCACTCAGACAATTCCAGTTTAAGTACTGTTGCAGTCGGTGGTAATTGATTTTAAAGCCATATATTGTTGAATGTCTTTTGTACAAAATGCGTGAAATGGATTGAGATGTAATGGACAATGGCAAAATATGTTCCAAAGAATGACGGGAAAGAACGCGTACCCGTGAGAATTGACTCACGAGTTTTATTTTGGAGGTAGACTTAACATTGTCAAATACGTGATTCTTTACTACCGAGTCATCACCTGAACATCTCAAAACTTTAGTACGACACTTTTTGCTTGGGATCCATACTCAATGAATAGTTCTTAACATACTCAAATAAATCACGTCGGGGTTTTAGAGAACCGAATTATCATGAAAACATAAAACCAAGTGGTAATATATCTTGCTCATCAAACCTTCCATACGAAAATGTGGACGACAGTATTTACCACAGCTCTACCTCAGGAAATACGAAACTACGACTCATTATAGTTTGTGTTCAACTCTATATGTTTCATGAAGTACAGTAAATGTCAACGGTTATTCTGTTATGTTGTTTTCCCTTCCTTAAAATGTTCAAATGTCAAGGTAGACATTTTAGTTGGTTGGTTAGGACCAGTAATGAGAAAGTTTAATTTGTAAATGTGGAAGGGCAGACTTTTGAGAACATGAAATTATACTTGTAACCAAGTGTGAGTTTGGAAGGTTTAGTAGTGAAATGTTTTGTAGATAGATTTGCCTTAATTTTGTGTAAATATATAAATTGTTTTCATATGGTATGAACCCTGTGATCCTTATATATATATATATATATATCTCGATGAAAATGATAATATTTAATTAAACAATTTTTGAAAAATTAGACAAATCATATAATTGTTTCGTATCCAATCTTTAAGAAACATATCATATTGATTACCACTTTCAGTCAATGAATTTCACTATGTCATAATGTATTGAATAATATATTACAATGCAGAACGTATTTATCAGACACAATCATAATCGCACATTTGTAATAAACATTTGGAGGAGAAAGTCTGTCAAAGTTAGTGTTATGGATACTTCAAACTGAGTGTCATATTCTCTTTTTTTAATGGTAAATTTGAATATACTGGAACAACAAATCATTGGATTTTCCTTTCAGCAAATTTGACTGTTTATCAATATCGTAAATACTGTAAACGTTTCGTAAGTTTATATCATAGCTTGAGAAATGCATTCACAGTTATTCATTGTATTTCGATATACTCTTAAGAAAAGGTTTGAAATACAGTACCTACATAACATTGCCTTAATCATGCAACATTGCTTGCGCTGGGTTTTTTCAAAGACAACAAAACACATCTGTAATATACTTTTTTGATTTTGAAAAATAGACTACGATTCGACTAACATAATCACATAGCTTCTTAGTCCTACTTAAAAACGAAGTGATAAATTGACTCTTTAAGATTGAAAACATAAGTCAATATAGGCATCGAAACAAAGTACCTATTTACTTCGCCATATATCCGTGTCCTCCATTGAGGACTAAGCAGTAATACGAATTGCCAAAAAACAATGAAAATCCATGTCTAATTTAGAGTAGAGACTTGTTTTGTCAACGTTGATAATTGTTCGAATTTGAGTTGATCTCAATTATTACAAATTATCTTCCTTTGTTCTTATTTTCTGAGAAATCAATCCCTTTCTTTATTAAAACTGAAGTGTCTACACCATACATTAAGCACGACTTATTGATCCTTAGATATGTTATTAATATATTGTCGTTGGAGAATTGAGATTTGCCATTTTTGTGCGATTTTTGTCTGGAGATTCGTCATTGTTAAATGACCTTACCCACATGCCATTTGGGTAAAGACGTTTTTTGACGGAGTTCTGTAACTCATAAGCATAGGCCTTATACACTAACAACGAAGTTTGGTTCGTACTTATTTATGGGTAAAGTGAAAAAGATTGTTATATAAATGTCAGAGAATGAAAGAGTGTAAGATATTTATTTTTATAATTGTGAATTAGTGCCATAGAATTATCACAGTGTGAAATGTGTTATAGTTTTGTTTTGTATATTTTTCTGACTTAATATTTTAACATGTTCAGGTGCTGTTGCAAAGGAATACACTGACATTTTCTGTCATGTGTTTTTTCCCCACAGTATTGAAACTGCTGGTAAATTATAATTTTTCATCTAATGATAACTAATCGATTTGGAAGCTATATTTCTACCAAAAACATAATTTCCTGTCAAACTGAATTTCGAAATTGATACCAAAATTTCTCAACTATTGAAAAAATGTTTATGATGATAGGTAACGGTATTTAGATACATTTTACAGATTAAATCTCGTTTGCCAAAAGCATCTTGCCTTTTTCAGAAACTTGCCTAATTGGATCATTTTTCTATGTATATCTTTGATAATCTATGTTACAATTAGCCGTACTTGCAAACTCCAGTATTATACATCATACATAGTCATGATGCGTGGATATATTGTATACATGAGTTATTTTTCATTTGACATTATTTCAAAAAACAATGCATATGTTTTGATATATATACATTCATGAATATGTAAATTAAATCATGAATATGTAAATTAAATCATGAAAATAAAACTCATGGAAATATATATTTTGTGTTTCTTATTTATATGTTTATGATGATTATTACTATTAGTTGATCCATTATTTAAATGGAATCTTGCATTAGATATGTATAATGTTAACGGTATTTAGTGATTGATAATACCCGGATGTAGGAATTAATGGATTTGGTACCAATCGTTCTTTCGGAGCATCTGATCCTATACTTCCTGTATATTTCCAGGGTCTCCATAGAAATCTTTCCTTATTTCAGATTTTGCATTAGTTAAATTGATTTGGAGTTCGACTAACGGCTTTCTTTATGTTTCCGTATTCTCTTGAATACAATATACTATGATGATTGTTTAAGCCAGAATGCGCCATCATATTAGCGATTTAATTACGAAGTAAGAAACTTTCTTGATATAATTACTTCCTACAACTTAAGGAATTTTATATTTGGCGGAATGACAGATATAAAATGTCTATGTATGAATAGGTAATATATGTGATATATATATTTAAAATATGTGGATAATAGTAAAATCCTCCAAGGGGTGGACGTTTGAGTACAAATAACCGCAAGGAAAAAAATCCACAAATTATTGATAATGTTAGACACACGTAATACTTTGTTCAACAGTAGAGCAAAAACATCAAATAATAATAAAAGAGTAACCTGATATATGATAGAGAAATAACCTCAAAACTGATCTGTATCGAGCACTGATATCACTACCAATATTCAAATATTAAGGAATTCACACTTTAATGGCTCAGTGAATATTTCCGTGGAACGGATATTTTGTAAACCATACACTATTTTAAGGAATCGAATAATGTTGTGAATTTGACGTCTCTGTGCAAGAGATTGCCACCAAGTTTCTCAAAAATATAATTGAGCTCTAATAGTACGTTTCGTCCCCCCTGTTACGATACCCTATAAGTTAAAACTAACAAATATTCGGTTCAGGCTCTCTTCAATTCAGGAATACCCTAATGACATTCAAACCTTGACCAGTATCTAGAAACCCCATACATATCCCCACCTCTCACAAACAAAAGAAACCAAACACCACAAAAACAACAATACTGCACATGTCAAACGTTTCATATCTATTATGATCTATTATGAACTTGAAACATGAAATTTGAATTTTTTGAAACCTTTTTTTTCTTCTCCATAATTGCTTAATCATGTTGATTAAATTCTAATAGCTTCTGATTATCGAAAAAAATGTCGATACACATAACACATAACAGCTTCAATACGACACACCCAAACAAAACGCAATACAAGAACAGTAACTGACGACACACCAAAACAACACGAAAGACAATAATAGGAACAGAGGAAACTCCAAAAACAAAAGGAAAGACAACAGGAACAATGGGAACACCAAAAACAAAAGGAAATACAA